TTGTATGAACTTCACAAGGGTTGTAAACTAGATTTAGTTGTAATTTGGGATACAGAAGGCTCTAGTAACGATGTCTTGAGGATAATCTGCATGAAATAAAACAGAGGTTCTAAGGGTATAGGTAAGCATCTAGAACTTTTCGACTGATATCATATAATAAAGATGTTCTAGTAATAACAGTAAGAATTGCAGTACAGAAGGTTTAAATAGGCAACATCTGTAGTTGAGTTGCAGGTATGACAGCTAGTATAGAACCTATATATAGGCAGACTACTTAAATTAAACACCAAAAGTATACATGTGGCTAGATGTACTCTCTAATGTAAGGTAGCTCCTCTAAGGTAATTGGATCATAAGTTATCATGTTCTACAATACAAAATAAAAAACCCTAGTCCCCAAAAGACTAGTTTATTAAAAAAAAAAAAAAAAAACTAATTAAGTCAAAGCAACAAAAAAATTCTAATTATAAAACTTATACTTATTTTTATTTATATAAACTATTTGATTAATTATATTCTAATTCTAATATCTGTTTATCTATTAATTATGCTATTTATAAAATTAATATCTAAATTATCTTTTGGATCAAATACAATTTTTTTATAATTATATTTTAAATTTACAAATTTAGATAAGTTTTAATTACTTTAATAGGTTTAGATTATAAATAAATATATTAGAGCTTCTGTTCTTAAATATATATATTTTTTACTTAGAACAATAGTTATATAGATAGCAATTTAATAATTAGTTCTAACTGCAAGTATTAGTCTTAATTATAACATTTATATAAAAAATTACATTTTGTATATAGCAACTTTATATAGTTATTAATTTTTAAATTATTAATAAAAATATAAGCAATACTGCATTTTAATATTAAAAAAAAAACAAAATAAAATTAAAAAAAATTTAGTTATAGTTTTTTTTATAAATATTAAAAATTTGAACAAAAAATATTTTATATACTGTATATTTAATTAAATTTGACTAAAATTTTTATATTTTAATTTTATAATTTAATACAATTAAAATAAAGAAAAATTACAGATATTAATATAAAGAAGCTAAATAAACAAGAACCTTTAAGTAAAAAGTACTATTAACTAAACTACTAGAATTTTAACTAAGAAAATTAAAAAAAAAGAATATCAGATTAATCTGATATACCAATAAACTTATTATAGTTTTATTGAATTATCTAGAAATTTAAAAACAAAAGTAAAAGTATACTGAAGTACTAAAGATATATTATAAAATAGTACTAAAATTTAGATGAATTTTGTAAAAGTATAATTCTGTTAAGGTTTGTAAAATAGATAGATAAATTAATAAAAAAAACCCTAAACCTTATTAGCAAATAATAGGTTTTAATACTACAATCTGAATATTAGTACAAAAAAAGATAAAATTAAACCTAAATAACTTTTAATATAAGGCAGCACAGAATTATTCATCTTTAAATAAAATAGTTAAAGTTATATAGATACCAATTAAATAAGCCAAAGAGTTTAAATAGAGCATTTACAAGTAAGAGTTTGAAGGTTAAATATGACAAATAGTGAGTAACCTTAAGGCTGAACCTTTAAATAAACAATAACTAAAATTATATGTATAACTAATTGTACTCTTACAAACTATAAATGTATTTAAAATATTATTAACTAATAAAAATTGCCAAGTTGACTAAGTAATTAACTGTTCATTTAAAAAAAATAAAAAAAAATAAAAAAAATTGATCAAATTTGATCAAATCTATATAAAGTAAACTTTATTTAAAGTTTTAATATTTATAAAAAAACTATGATCAGGTATTTTTTTAACTTTTAAATAATATTCTTAAGAACTATATCCAAATTTAATAAATTTTTGGTTTATTTTAATTATACAAATATAAAATTAAAATAAAAAATTTTTGTTTAAAAATTTTTTATAATTTTGATATTTTTTAAAAACTTTAAATAAAGTTTTCTTGATAGCTACCAAGTTAATATTTTTTTATTTTAATTCTTTAAGCTTACAGAATTAAAATAAAAAAATTATAAATATAAACATATAATCATTAAAAAAACCATTACCCGAAAATAAAAAAAAATCAAAATTTAAAAAAAGATCGTTACTATGTTTACATAGTACAGTCAATCAAGATTGTAGAAAAGGTGGATGTGTCACTGGTGTGTACAACATCAGTCTAATTACAAATATAGTGCAGGTCATATAATGACTGTACTGCAGAGCCTTTTTTGCTAATTACCTATTTGGAACAAAATGAATTTTCTCCGTTAATTTAATAATAAAAGCTCAAGCTCTTGAACCTACAAACCTACACAATAAGATCGTATTTATCAGGTTCGTTATAATCTGCTCTTTAATGTAACAACGCTCTTTTTTAAAATTTCTTTTTATTGTCTGGAGCGTAACAGGGGATTGAAGTGATACCAAAATTCTTGTTTTTGATGTATTTTTAATTAAAATATCAAAAACAACTTGAATTTGCTGAATTTGCTACAATATACAGTAGTTACGTTTTAATATTTTATCACTTTAATCCCCTGTTACGTGATGTTACATTAAAGAGCACATTATAACGAACCTGATAAATACGATCTTATTTGTGTATGTTTGCAGGTTCAAGAGTAATTACGAGCTTTATGTTTTTACTATTAAATTAACGGAGCAAATTCATTTTGTTCCGAATAGAAAAAAAGGTACGTCGATCTGCAGTACTCTAAACAATCTTTAGTGATCATCATTAATTATACTGATGTTGTACACCTATTATATTACATCACCGATTTTAGATGAGTCATGTATATCAACTGATAAATTACAATTAAAAAACAACGAAAACATTGAGAGAAAATAAAATCATAAATAACTCAAATTTTTACTATGCCAATTACAGTTCGACTTCTAAATACAAATTTTCAGCACGAAAAAATGTTAGTTATGTAAGTGTATTAAATATTTAAATATTTTGATCTTTGCGCACTTTCGATTTGGTAATCAACATGACCTGTACAGATTTCAGACGTGCAACACAAAAGATAAAATCCATGATCATAAGTGCTTGCACAATAAGTACAATTTATTTTAAACTCTGTTGGATAAAAGCGTTTATTTGAAAGACATGTGGATCCCACTTATTATGCTATATAAGTTTTTGTTTGCCAAAGAATTTATTCATTAGCTTGATACGTATCCCTTACAACTTGCTATTTATGTAAATTGCTATTTATGTTTATTTGTGCGTAATCAACTACTTGAGATTATCTTAAGACGTCTTAGGACTTCAACTCATACAAATAATAAAATGAAGCACTTCGTTTTTTTTTTTTTTTTTTTTTTTTCTTGCTTCTTTGCCTTATTAAAATTAATACTAACATTCATATTAAAGATTTTGTAAAATTACAATAAACTTCAAAGTCTTATTAAGAGAAATTTAAGCCCTAAACCATGCGTTCTCCACATTCCTTTCGAAACATATCTAAGAATGCAATGAACCATCCAATTTATATGACGGATATGGCTTATATGCGCACGAAGTGCTGTAAACGACACAGAGATCAACGAAAATATAGAAGCAAGGCCAATTCTCTGAAGCAAGACTATCGCCGCCTTTTCTTGGAAGTTACCTCGCTTAAAAGGGAAAATTCTATTCTTCGATCCCTTCAATCGCAACTTTCCCTCGTTGAGGCCTCTCTCCAATAGGTTCTCTGGATTTTTTTTTTCTAATATCTGAAAATTAAAGTAAAAAAGTTAAACCCATACATATTTCCTATTTTAACGATAGTACCCATTCACATTTCCATAAATATTTACAATGTTTATCACTTATCGTTATGTATCAGTAAATTTATCGTCATAAAAATTCTAAAAATAAAAAGCCTAAAAAATGTAGTATTTCATGTAGCGATAATTAAATAATTACATACAGTATAACGATAATTTCGATATAACAAACCTCGAAAGCTGAAAGTGTTATAACAAATATTTTTCCTATTAGAAAATTGTAAAATTACTTCGATGTAATGTAACTGGTATGTCGACTATCAATGTCAACAAATGGTGATACTTAATCGTTGCATCCAATAATTTATAAAGAATCGATTCCGTGAATTTCATCGAAAATCACTTCCAATTTAGTTCACTGATAATTAATTTACAGACAAGCTTATTTTATGATAATTAATTAATTCATTTCAGCAGTTATTTCATAGTAGTCACATCGTTAATTACGAAGCAATTTACAATTTATCTGTAAAAAATTATGTCGTGTAATAAATACCTTAAAGTTAGAGGAAATGTCACACAATTCTGGATGTTAATGTACTTCTATAAGAATATTTACACAAAAATTTAGAAAAATCTAGTAAAAATTTAATAATATTATTTGGAAGGAATCAGTATAAATGAACCAAATTTATTAGATAAGTTTGTTCTATTTTACTGACCTCCTTCTATTTCTGGATTTTTCTTATAACCTAATAATTATTATTAAGATATTTTTGTTTGTTAAATTGTAACTTGTACCGTATAAATTATATTTTATAATAAGGTTACTCCTGTTAGTATTAATCTTATTAATATTAATTTCTTATTAATATTAATTTCTTATTAATATTAATTCCTTATTAATATCAATTTCGTATTAATATCAATCTTTTATTAGGAAAAAAATAAGATTATATAAAAACTATTTTGCTATTATTTTTAAATTATTTTATTTAATGTTAATGTCAAGTAGAAAACATAAATATTAGTATATACGTATATATGATAATTTCCATGGAGTTATTCTGTTGAGCATTAAGCAATTTCTTAATATTAATTAAAGAAATTGTGTTACTAAGACATCGCACAATAAATGTGCTACGTTTTATAAATTGCTGGAATTCTCTTAAGACAGTCTTTAGTCAGTTTTACTTGTATAATGCAAACAACCTTTGCAAAACCGCTTTGACAGCCTTTTTCTCTTTTGAACAGCGCTATTAGTGCGATGCCAAAAACACGCAAGGAGATCAATTTAACGTATAGGAGAAACAAAAAGGCAAAATATGAGACCCTTGAGAGTCAAATTAAACTTCTTGAAAGTGAGAAATCACGATTTGAAGAAGAGAACCGTCAAAGAAGAGATAATCTCCAAAGTCTGATTGATAAACTTCAGGGTAAGGTAGAACTTCTTAAAGAACAGAATAAAGAACAGAAATCAGAATTTGAAGCAGAAATTAAAAATGTTCGAGAACAACATGAAGCAGAAATCCGGGATCTCCAGGAACAGCATGAAGTGGAAATGAAAAACCTTCAAGAACAATTCAAAATTAAAATTAGAAATCTCCAAGAACAATATGAAACAGAAATGAGTAATCTCCGGGAGCAGCATGAAGAGGAAATAAGAAATTTCCAACCACAAGAAGAGTATGATTTCTCATTAGATAATCTTTTCTCATATTGTTATTATCCTATTGTTTTAGCTTTTCACATATTACAGGTTTATTTCTGAAGAAACATCAATGAGCCTTAATAGTTTCGGTAAGAAAGAGCAGTTATTAAATGTTTTCAATAGATACTGTGATAACTATATTCTTCGAAAAAAAGGACAAGCGAATTCTACGCAATTTTTAACATTTGATGAATATTCCACAAATTACTATAATCGCAATGGTAACTACATCTTTTATCATCTTGTTATAGTATGTATTGCATGCATTAAATATCTTTTACATAATTAAATTTAGATATCAATAGTATCTGAGATATCAGATATCCAAACTTTAAAGTTGCCATAGACACGTTAATTAAGTTTGATTAATTTATTATTTGTGTCAAAATCTTATTTTTTTTCAAAGTTAATTGAAAGATTAAGAAATTCTGAATAACTCTATCTCAAATTTGGTTCTACATTATAGAAAATACTATATGAATGAATGGCATATTTATATGCAAAATTTTATGTAACTATAATAAATACGTCTTTTACTAAGATTATGGTACTTATAAAAACGTATAAACTTACATACACGATATATATTTATTCATTAGTTATTCAAAGGTTTGGAGCTAATGTTACTGTCAGCTAACATCAATAAAACGTTTAAGAATGTTAATCAACTTTTTATTCATTAATCGGTTTTTTATTATTGAGTTCCTATTCATTATCCGTTTATCCATTTATCTATTGGATATCCGGATCTGAATTTGTTCGGATATCTGCTTTACTATTGATATCCAGGTAATTATCAGGATATCAATAGTAAATTGATCTCCGGATAAATTCAGATATCGATAAATGGATGCCGGATTTATCTGGATCGGAACTCTATTTTATAAATATACAGTAGGATAAGTTGGTTAACGTTAATATCTTTAGTAAATTTACAGATTCAACCGATAATTGAGAATTAGTTGTTCCAGAAGTTGTGATAATATAAAGATTTTTCGGTGCAATTTTATTAGTTTACATTGCTAAAAGGTTAACAATTAAATTCTAATGAAGAACAAGCTTTGATTTCTCGTCATTTTTTTTTTTTTTTTTTTTTTTTTTTTTTTTTAGAGTTTATGATTTCAGTGTCTCAGCAAATTAGAAATACTTCTAGTAGGCAACATTATATTTATAAACTTTATTTTATAGTGAGAAAATTACCAAGATTATATTGTACCATTAATTTGTATGCACTATTTCAGCAAATGTTTGATAACAAAAATGCGTTTTCTTGTGTTTATTTATTCGTAATAAACATTATTTCTTGTGTTTATTTATTCGCATTAAACATTATTTATTTTTAAAATTGGACTTGAATTTTTGTAATTAAGTTGGATTATAAAAATGAGCCGATTACTACGATAAAGTTACTGTAAAAGATCGAACTGCATAATCGCGAGTGACGTAATTGAGATGACACGTGAGAATAAACGCGCGTATAAAGAACACTTTTTTTAAAAAATAAACGGTCATTGAAGAAAGATAATAAATGTGTTCGGCTAAAGACCACGTGTATCTCCAAAAGACTAATTTTAGAACCGTGAGAAAAGGTGATCAATGCGTGAGTTAACTTGCAGGTAATCTTTAATTTTTATCCAGATTAAACACGTACGTACGTACGTACGTATGCACGCCACGAGGACATTAACACGATATCAAGTCTATTGAAATATTAAAAAAAGACTATTAAAAATTTTCCAAAGATGGATTTATAAAATTTAAATTATTCCTAATAAATTAAGCATCTTTTATAATTTGTACATAAATTCGTTTTTTCTTTTTTTAACTTATCTTTATTAAAATATAATATAATACCAGTATATATCTATAGGTTAGATGAGTGGATACGTATCAATTTTTTTTTTACTATATCTGATATATAATATGTGAGAACACGTCTTATACGTAATTCATAGTTTATTAATAAAATTATGTATATAGTGATAAATTAAATAGCATATATTTGTTTTTAAGTACGTACAAGTTTTTTTTTTTTTTTTTATGTATTTATTGAAGATTAGAAAAAAAAAAGAAAAAGAAATCCAGCCTCAACAATAGCCAATAAATAATGTTTTCAATCTTTATAAGACTAATTACTGAGAATTTTTCTAAAAAAAAATATATATATATTGTATTTAGATATTTAGATAAAAAAAGATATCAAATAAAATATTATATAAAAAGAAAAAACAATTTCGCCAATAAAAGAATAAAAAAAAAAAACAAAAAAAAAGGAAAAAGGAAAAAAAGAATTAAAAACGGTTAGAATATGAAACTAAGAAAAAATCGATTTAAACAAGAAAAAAAAAAATAATGAACTAATGAATACAGTATATATGTATTAAACCAAAAAATTGTTCGATTACATTTACTTTTCCCGAAACTATTTTCATAAATGCTACTTGCTATTGTTATTGTGATGCTTGATCATTACAAGCTTGGAAGTAAGTTTGGAAAAAATTTTTTTTTTTAAAAAAAAAAGATATATAGAGAAAGAAAAGAAAAAAAATGCATATATATAATATTTACACTATACACAAATTAATTTCTATAATGTTTTTTTTTTCATTTTCGTAAATAATAGTGCATTCGGGAAAAATGCAATTAAAAAATGTAGTAAGTTTTGTAATAATCAAATAGAATATTAAACCTTGTTCCACCCGACAAATTAAATAAATATCCCAATAAAATAAATAAAAGACTGAAGCATATAGCCTTGGAAACTAAAGAGATTTTTTCAACCTAATTACGAGAAGAGTTCGGGAAGAATTGGGGGGAAGGAAGGTTAAGGATTGTTTGAAAGCAAGGCGTTTAGAAATATTAAACATTCATGAGTAAAGCCTTCAAATCACCTTGACAATCAATATTATGCTATTACCATGCTGTTCCTTTGTCTCATACTTCTTCGCTTTTGAACAGTAATCCAACCTTCATTTCCGTCATCCTTCTTTGGTCGTGGAATTACACCATTTTTATTCATTCCGGTAATTTCAGGAACGGAATTTTTCTGTTCTTGAATGTTTGCTTGCGGTATGGTTGGAACGCCATTAGTATCCGATGGTTCAATTGAACGTTTTAAAGATGGAGTTTCAAGAATCGTTGCAAGTTTTGAAGGAGATGGTTCAATGCTTCGTTCATGTATTAATCCATTAGAATTATTTGTTGAAGTTGGTTCAGTAGGTTTTACGTTTATGGTTTGTGATGCTTGTTGTTTTTTGATCAATGATTCTGAACATTCACGTGCTCTTTGTTCAGATTCTGATAGTGAGAGGTTTTCAGCTCGTAGTTGATCATTTTCTTTTATTAATTTATCATTTTCTCTCATTATTTTTTCAATATAGCGTGCTATAAAAATGCAAAATATATATGTAAATATTTATGTAAAAAATATATAAATATATATGTATAAAAATATATAAGTATAAATATATAAGTATGAATTATATAAGTATAAATATATAAGCATAAATTATATAAGTATAAATTATATAAGTATAAATTATATAAGTATAAATATATAAGTATAAATTATATAAGTATAAATATATAAGTATAAATTATACTAGTAACGCATTTAACGCATTTACGCATTTAACACATTTTATTTACGTTTAGAATATAAAAAAAATAATAACCTTTTTGCTCAAGTTGTTGACGGCTTTTGGCATCTTCTTTTTCTATGAAAATAGATAAAATTTTTAGCGAATTATATATGATTAAAGAATAGCATAGATAAATATACATACCTTTTGCAACTAAATTTTCAATTTTACTTCTTAATTCCGAGATCGTAGATTCATTACGTTTCTTTTCCCATTCATTAGCTTTCATTTCTGCTTTTACGTTTGAAAGTTGAGCACGAAGTTCTTCAACGGATGAAATATCAGCGAGTAAGTTACGTTTTGATTCAAATTCAGCGAGTAAGTTACGTTTTGATTCAAATTCAGCGAGTAAGTTTCGTTTTGATTCAAATTCAGCGAGTAAACTACGTTTTGATTCAAGTTCAGCGATTGAACTACGTTTTGATTCAAGTTCCGATTTAATTTCATTATAAGCATTATTTATAAAATCAAATCTATCTTTTGGTACCATAGATTGAATTAAATTGGATTGTTGAATAATTTTTTGATCACGTTCATGAAGTTGATTCTTCACTTCTTGTAAATCAGAAGTATTTTTTTCAAGATCACTTTGAACGGATTCAAGTTGAACTCTAACTTGATTACGTTGTTCAATAACGATTTGATTTTCAGTGCTAACATTTTGAAGAGCGACATTAACTTGTTGAAGTTCGTTTGTTCTACTTTGGAATTCTGATTTTACTTTTTGTAATTCTTTTTTCAACGAATCTCTTTCAGCGATAATTTTAGAATCAGAATCTTGTTTAGTAGAAGTCAAATTATCTCTTAACTCTTGAATGATTTGATCTCTTTCTTGAATATCGGATTTTAAACGAGAAATTTCATCAATTTTTGATGTTAGAGAATTTTGAGCATCTTTAAATTGAGAATTCAATTTAATAACTTGATCATTACTTGATTGTAATGAAACACGAGATTTATCTAATTCATTAGATAAAATAGTAATATCTTCATTTTTTAAAGTTAAAGAATGTTGAGCTTCTTCGATTTCGGCATTTAATTTAGTAATTTCATTTTGACAAGAATTAAGATCATTCTGACATTTTTCTAATTCAGAAAGATCAACTTTTTTGTTGGAACGATTTTTAATAGCTTCAAGATCCGAGGTGAGAAGTTCAAGATCAGATTTTAATTTTGTAACATTTTCATTACTAATTTTAAGATCAGATTGAGCTTTTTCTAAATCAGAAACAGTAGTTTGTATAGTTTTTGCACGAGTTGATAAATCAGAATTTAATTGTTGAATGGTAGTATTACGTTGATCAAGTTCAGCCTTTAGATTAGCGATTTCATGTTTATTTACTTCAAGAGCGACTTTGGTATTTTCGAATTCCGAATTAACCGATTTTGCAGTTTGTTGAGATTTTTCTAGAGCATCTTTCTTTATTTTTTCAATTTCTTGTTTGTTAGAATTAAGTTCAGAAGTAATTTTTTGAACTACATCATCACGAGCTTGTAATTCGGAATTTAATTTTTTGATTAATTGATCTTTTTCTTCAATTTCAAGTTGAGCTTTTGAAACTTTAAGATTAATATCATTTGTATCAGCCAATTTAGAATTTAATTGTTTAATAACAGTATCTTTTTGTTGTAATTCAAATTTTAAACGATCAAGTTCTTGTTGAAGAGCATTATCTACGGCCAAAGAGATGTCATGTGATTGACGATCGGGAGTTGAAGGAGTAGAATCTTTTTGTTGTAATTTTTCAAGTTCATCCTTTAAACTTTTAATATCACTATCACGACGATCAAGTTCTTCTTTAGCTTTTTCAGCTTGTTGTTTTACAGATTCTTTTTCGCTACTAACTTTATCCAATTCATCTTTTAAACCTTTAACTAAATTATCATATTCTACACCACTAAGACGATTACCATTAATGCTTATAACACTTTGACGATGATTACTATTAATACTTTTAGCATAATCACTATCAGCTTTATCTTTTGTAATTAAAGATTCATCATGATTTTTTTCAATTAAACTACTTCTTCTATTCAAATCAGTACTACCATCTTTATTCCTTTTACGAAGATTTTTTACTTTAGCCACCAAGGAAGATTTAGATTTACCATCTTCTTCAGGATGAGAAGGATTCGAACGAGTTTGATCACCGAAAATTTTTAAAGATTTCATATTATTATTATTATATATTTTTTTTTTATATATTATATATATATATAATTATTAATAAATAAATAAATATATATACATATAATAAATATACGGTATGTATTTATGTATACCGCCTTTTATAATATTGATAATAATTTTTTTTTCTATCTCTCTCTCTCTCTCTTTCTCTCTCTCTTTACACTTGATATTTGTTTTTGTTTTTTTTTTAAGATGACGATAAATATTTTTTTTTCTTTGGCAAAGTTTCACGGGTCCCGTGTAATATAAGGATTGGAAGATGAAAAGATGTGAAAGGTTCTTTTTTATATTTCTAAAGCCAGATACAAGTAAATACAAGAGTATGTGTAATGACCCTGTCAGAAGTAGCCGAGTAAAAAGAACGGAAAAGTTGTAATGTGTTATATATATATATATATATGTATATATATATATATATATAAGTAATATATAATATTTTATTATATATATATACGTATATTATATAAAATAAAATAAGATTATGTATTATATGTACATACTTATGTACATATACATATATAAGTATAAGTATATATATATATATATAATTTTTTTTTTTCTACTTACCAACAAAAAACGAGGGGGATTCGTCGGCAGGGCTCAAGTATCAGGAGAGCGAAGCACACAATACGATACGATGGAAAATACAGTGGATGATAAAATAAATAAAAAACAAGGAGGAAATAAAAATACAGTGGAAAAGAAAAAATGACAAAAGATGACAAAAAAAAAAGCTGACAGAAATCTGACAGAATAAAAAAGAAAAGAAAAAACGATGGAGAAAAATATAGAAAGAAAATGAAAAAAAGATGAATACAGTAAATAATAATAATATATATATATAATATATATATAATATATATATATATAATATATATAATATATATATATAATATATATATATAATATATAATATATATATATGGATATAAAATAAAAGAGATTAATGGGGGGGCTGTGGTAATTGTTGTCAAACAAGGATTAACTTTGGCGGAATGATTAAACTTGTGTGAGAAGAAAGCTCGCGGAACTTAAAACGTAGAATTGACTTGTTTATATCCAAAGAGTACAAGAAGCATCTTAGTGGTTTAAAATATGCCATTAATTACTTATTTATGTTGTATTCAGAGTATTCATAGAACCAATAAACAAACAATAAATATATATATGCAATGTATTTATAAATGAGTTTAGTGTGTGAGATAAGTGAGCCGCATATATGGAGGGTAAAGTAACGCATAAAAATATGCACGCGAAGAAGTTGTAACAACAGTAATGCGGTATTACACTACATAAAAATACAGTACATACGTATGTATGACGAACTAATAATCCAGGAATTAATTAAGGCCGATGAGAACATTTTTCAAGAAGCGGATTAAGATAAATTAAGGTAAAAGTGTTATTCAAAATGCGAAAAAGAATAATGAAGAGGTCTTTTACGGTTTAAAAGATAAACCAAAACTCTTTTTGATAATCATTTTTTTTTTTTACCGGATACTATAACCAGGTACTTTAACCAGATACTATAAGCAGATAATGTAACCAGATACTATAACCAAATACTACTATAACCAGATATTATAACCAGATATATATATATGTATATATATATATATATGATATTTACAATATATAACTACAGTAACTACGTACTACAGTAACTACTACAATAGCGTTTACAATAACATTTAGTTAATAAAGGATAATCAATCAGGGTAAATACAACAATACCGATTTAGAACACAAGACTCTTGATAGGCACAAGATGTCTCATGTTATTAACAAATTGGCAAAGTTTCGGAATATCAGTACGTAACAAATAAAGGAAAAGTAAATCGAAGGTAGTCTTACGTATCATCGTAAAAATCCAAACTCTCATTTTTGAATGTTAATTTTAAATATTAATTTTTAATGTTAATTTTGAATGTTAATTTTGAATGTTAATTTTGAATGTTAATTTTGAATGTTAATCACTAACGGCAGACACATTCCTAAACACCCATTCCAAGCCCCTTGTATCAAAATTAAAACCATCGTTTAAAGGTACAAATAGAGCTAATAGTCGTAGTACAATTGAACTTTCAAATAATAAAAAGTGTATTTTGTGTTTATAATTATATAATTTGTGTTTGTTTATTTTTTAAAAAACCGTAATAACGATAAAACGATGGCAATTAACATGAGCTTTCAAGACAATTTGTTAATATAATTCTGTTAATAAAATTATTAAATTATTTAAATTATTTAACAATGAATAATTTGCAATGATAATTGAAATGATAATTGAAATGATAATTGCAATGATAATTGCAATGATATTAACAATGATATTTAACAATGACAGACTTAAAATAATTTAGAACTAGAGAATAACCTCGTTCTATTTGTTTGCTTATTAATTGTTCTCTCAATTTATTAAAATTTAAAATTCATCTCGAAAAAAAAATTAAATGCTTCTACGTACGTTCTTTACATACGCACATATGTACATACCAGATACGTACTGTACGTACGTACTGTACGTATAGTACATAAACAAGCAATTTAGAACAATGATGCGATAATCCAAACCCAAAATGTAAATATATACTAACGTTAATGAATTCAAGCCACACGTTATCTTTATGACCATATGTTGCCTGGCCTTGTTTTAATGCAGTAAACGTCAGCTTGCTTAATCACGTTTTAGATATACAGCTATGATGCAATAACAAACATTGTATCCTAAGTATTATATAAAATATATCATCATAAATAATAATATATAACGATAATAACGATAATGTATAACGATAATCATCATTTACTACGTATCACTATTGCCATAAAATATTGTTAGAAAAAAGAAACGCCAAGTTCATTAGAAGTCTAATACGTCACTTAGCCAATTTTTTTTGGCTAAACAAATTTGGAAATGAATGGTTTTTTTTTAGACCCTTGTTTTTTTGTATCCTAATTACGTTAGCGTTAAGGTTAGCATTAGTTCTTCTTTTATTAACTGTTAAAAATTAATTCCTGTTCAAAACTGCCTTACTTTCGAATAACTTGAATCCCTTGAATCAATTCTGGTTTTTTATTCCCAGAAAAAAAAAAATTAAAAATAATTAATGAAATAAAAACCTGTCTCTGTTAACATACGTACATTATTGAAAAACACTAATTATGGTAAAGTAACGTTTGTGTTACTTTATTAGAAATTTATCTCTTAATCAAAAACTTATCATTATGATATAACTGATAAACAATAAATATTATGATTCAATTGTCTTATAATCTGCATGAAATATCCGATGAATGTTTCGATGTACGTACAGTATGTACAATACGTACTTGTACGAAGTAGATATGTACGTGCATACCTACAAACATACCTACATCCTACAGGTTATGTGATTGTTTAGGGAACGAAATGAATTTTTTCGTCAAACAAATTAATTCAAAACAAAAATTACTATTACGAACGAACCCTATCACTGTTCACTCTTCTATTTATATTTTATGACCCCTTAACTTTACCTTTTATTTTCTCATAATTGTCGTCCTTTGTCCTTTGCTCGTTTTTGTTCCTTCCCATACTTGTACAATTATTTACGCCCGAAATTGATATCACTAAATAAATAAGTACTAAGACAATGTAAATTTCTAAAAATAACTAGTCATTCTTGGGAAAAAAAATTTTGTTGACCTGACCAATCGGTTAAATAGCGGAAATTCTGTACCGGTTTTTGATCTTTATCTATTTTCGTACTTTCATATTACATATCGATTCTTGGCCCTTCGTTTACAAGGTGAATATCATCACTTAGGTAAGAAAGTTATGGTTCATCCAGATCTGTTACAAGTTTTACACGCATCCAACATTAAATTTTGCCAACATTAAATTTTGATTTTTTTTTAAACTGCAGAATACTCAGAATATTCAAAATACCGATTATTAATTGGTTTGCTCGGACCCCAGTTTCAAATCATGCAAATGATTTTCAAATGATTGTATCAAAGTGGTCTAACTTAATCTCCATATTATCTAAAACAAGAATTTGCCACTGCATAGTTCTTAATAAAGTTATGGGCTGTGAATTCTGAAAAGAATTTCATTATTTATCATGTATTTATCTATTTATTTATCTATTTATTTATTTATTTATTTATTTAAGATTATTAAAATTAAAAAAAAAAAAATTAAAAAAAAGATCTATATGATTATAGATAGATATCTATCTATCAATTATATCAATTACATCAATCAAAACTTTTGTTTTTTTTTCAAATGATAGATGATTATCCTTGGTAAGATTTTCGTGAAATCGAAAAAAAAAGAATTGCGTTCTTTTCTTTTAATGATTTTTTTTTTTTTCCATAGTCCGAAGAAATATACTTTTTTTAATACATTCAAATCTCGATAACCTTGCACTACCAATGAAGTCGTCACAAATTGGGGCATTACTATGAGAGAAATGTGGCAAATTTCATGCATTTTCAGCTGTTTAGCCCGTGTGCATTGACTAAGTTACATTTATCGATCTTTACTTTTCATAGTCAATTCCCGATTCAGTTCTGGATTGATCATCACGATAATACACGCATATAATGTATCACAACACGACCCTTTTATTTCTAAAAATCATAATACGTATTCAAAAATTCTACGTATTATTACTATATCCATAATAATGTTTGGCACTCTTAGATTCTTTACTAAGTAAATACGTAGGTTTATCAAATTGTTAATTATTAACTGTTAATTATTAATTGTTAACGTTAATTGTTAACGTTAATTGTTAACGTTAATTGTTATTGTTAACGTTAATTATTATTGTTACGTACGTATTGTTATTGTTATCGCTAATTTAATAATACTCATTTCGTTATTTTTTAGGTCCTGTAACCAAGATAAATAAGGTTAACCATTGTTAGTAAACGTTTTTTATAATTCTGTAATTAGGCATTATACTATATAATTGATGCATGATTGCGTTATTTGATAGTTTTGGTAATCTATATATTACTTTTTAAAGAATGATTTGAGTAACCAATGACCAGAAAATTCTTGCTCTACTCAGGACTTACCCAAAATTTACCCAAGGCTTACCCCAATGATTCTCTGTAAATTACAAATGTTTATCAGGTATTCTTATGGAAAATGAATATATACTATAACTGATAGTATATAATAATTATTTATTATATACGTACTAATTTACTGTTACTGTAACGTGTTCGACTTTAGACCCTAGATCTAGATTTAATCCAGTAAAGTAACTTGGTTGATCTGTTATTGATTATCCTGACTATCTTTCAAGTATAATTTACTGGTTAGCGTTAGTAAAACTTATTCTAATCTTTTGATTTTCAATTTTCGTTTTTTTCTAGATCAGTATCTATGTACCTATGTACCTATGTGTATTTTGTCATCATTAATTATAATGGTAAGGTAAAAAAAATCCCATTACGCATTTAAAGAACGTGGTTAATTTGGCGATTTGTGTAATATCTCAACCTTTAGTGATCAAAATACTTAATATCATCCGATTGCCTTATTAAGATAAATCGAATGTTATCTTTATTTTAAAATGAATCGAATGATTTTACGTATACGTACTTCATTGCATGATTTTTAATAACCTGACTAAGAAATATTTACTCGTTTCGTCAAATAACCAACTTTTGTGTGTTCAGGGTTGTCTTAAAATAATTGTTGTGTCAAAAAATTTTGCGTGTTCAGGGTTGTCTTAAAATAATTGTACATATCAAAAAGTTGTGTACTTCTGTTTTATAATAATTGTATCAAAAAAAAAAAAAAATCCTTCCTATTCAGGGTTTCTCAAGATCTGCAAATTTAATAGCAATTATAATTGTTTTCAGTTAGAACTCTCTAAACAAGTCCTGTATACATACGTATAATGTTTACTTATTTTTTTTTTTTCCTTATAAATATTTTTGTGTAGTTAATAAAAAGTGCTATGTACATATATGTTTTTATTTTATTTATTAATTACGCGGTTTTACGGGTAAATTTCCTGCATATCTGATATCTGATATATAATAATATCTATATATCGATATGCAGGGCGTTTACGTACTCTAATTATTAAATACGTATAAATAAATTGTTTGATTTTTTATTTCATACACGCGGATTTACAGAATTTACTTAATTATCTTTTTACAACAATTTGCATTGCATTTAAAACAAAGTGCAATATAAAATCGAAATTACTTCGTTAAAGTTTTAAACTTACAATAATTAAATATTTAGATTTAAATTATTTAAAAAAATTAAATTATACATGAAATTAATTATAAAATTAATTTAAATTATCAAAAAAGTACGTATTGAGCTCTGAAATAGTATAATATTGTCAACTATCAATATCGAGGATTGGATCCTCTGGTTTAACGGACTAAATTCGAAGTATCAACCTTTTAATAGGAAGTTTAAATACCTATAACGGATTTAATAGTAAAAACGGTCCTATGTATAATAGTCAGTCCATTCATCACTCATACAGTGGCAATCATAAATAATGCAACAAAAAAATTTTTTTAGTTAGACCGTATTATCTTTCGCAATTCTGGGCGTATTTGTTTATTTTTATTTTATTGTTTTATTCGTGAATAGTAATATTTTCATCAATAAAAAACTTTTAAAAAAATAATAAACAAAATTTTTCGCGGGCACGAGCTTTATTTCAATTCACGTGTTGATTACTTTTGCTCGTTTTTACAGCAACACGATCATATAACAAAAAAAATTTTTTTTGCTATCTAATAATTTTCGGTCTTCACTATCTGGTGTAGCCGCTTCGGGCTCTAATTGCATCACGAATTCATTCTGGTATTGAACAAATCAGCCTTGTACAGGTTTCAACATCGATCACCTGTCAGACTACTTGGATTTTTTTACAGGTAGACCAATCAAAGAATCAGATCTTGTTTCTTTTAAGTCAATGTTTTATTAAGATTGTCATATAATAAGATGTATCATCTTGTTGAAACATGATCTCCTTAATATCAAAATCATGATTCCTAATAATTCACATTAAATCTTCATAAAGTATTTTCTAGTATAACTCATTATCCATCATGTTATTGACTTTGTAATAGTTATCAACATTTTAAAAGAAAAAACAACTTCAAATTATAATTAACTTATTATTAAATTTTACTGTAAAAGTAATTTAATGGTTCTTTATAATATTTTTAATAGTATTACTTTTTATTTAACTTAAAAATTTGAAATCATAATTCATCAAACCAAATTACTTTAGACCAATCTTTAACAGTCTAATTTTAAAATTTTTTTATAAATTTAAACTATTATTTTTAATAACTATTACTCAGATAAAGTTTTTTTTTCTTAAATTCTAACATTAAACTGTAACAATAAAGTATGTGATAAATAGTTATTATTAAAATTTTTATATTTTTATTTACTTTGAGATATATTTTTATTTCAATATAATAAAGTAATGACAAAAACTAATAAGATTTATTATTCTTCTTTAGATTGGTTTACTCAACAAAATTAAGTAATTAATTTTTTTTAAATTTTCAAGAAAGCAGTTTATTAATTATTTTTTTGATATATAAAACTATAAAATAACTAATATTTAAACTTGTTAAATAGATATTATTTAGTTCTTTTTTTGTTTTCTTAATTATCAATAAGTACTAACATCAACAAAATACAAAATTAATAAAAAATTTACATATTTATATTTATTTATATAGTACAAATTGTACTATCTAATTTTTATTAAAAACAATCAAAAATAATACAACACATGTTTTATAATACATATATAATTGTTTTTATTTTAACAAAATCAATGCTTACTTAAATTCTAAAATTAAAAAAAATATATTATTCAAAAAGTATAATAACTTAATAAAATAAATAAGTTATCAATTCTCTAAATAATAGGTTATAAATTCAAAATCTACTGAAGATAAACTATAAAAAAATATATCTGTATTATAGTAATAACATTTTGTCAATCAGTTAAAATAAAATACCTGTAACTATGATTATACCAATATAACTAACAAATTAATAAATATTTGTATAACTTTGATTATATAAAAAAATGCAAACTAATATTAAATAGTACAAATTCAAGATAAGTCTTTGTAACTATGTAAATTATAAAACTAAAAAAACTGAAACCTACTTAGAAAAATCTAAATAAAAAGGTAATACTAATCTTTAATAATATTACTATTATCATAATATAGAAAATATAGATTCTAAAATTTTCTATTTATAAATTAAACAAAAGTCTTTTGCATAATGTTAAATGGATTAATACTCAAAAGAAGTATTGGATTTGAGTAAGTACTAAAGATAAGTATATTTTTATTAATTATACTGTAAGACTTGTTTCTTTTATATTATAAACATATTACTTATATACTTTTTTTTATATACTAATTATACTAATTAGGCTATATATACTAATTACATTAAATATATTATATATGCCAATTATACTAATTACGCTAAATATACTACATTCACTATATCTATTAATTATACTAATTATACTAATTATGCTATATTTATTAATTATACTA